TATATATATGGGACCCTTACAACACGCCCTTTCATTTGATAGGTATGACACACGGCACAGTTTGGAATTTTTTTTTAAATTTCCTATTGGCCCTCAAAAATTATCCACATGTTCAACATTAATTTATTTACGTTATGCGTCCGTGTTTGGATCACAGAAATTCATCTGTGTGCTAGATTTCACCTTAATCGATACAGTAGATTCGGAGCAAATTGACTGTGATAGACAGACAGATAGACAGACACGAGTGATCCTAAGATAAGGGTTCCGTTTTTCATTCGGATGTAATTATGTTTCTTGTGATATAACTACAAATGTATGGTTTTCGGATTTTTCCATCCTGTAAGACCTTGCTTCTTGCTAAATATCATGATTATGACCCGTAGGTCAACGGGAAGTTGGCCTATAGGTTTTAATTCCATTGCAAGTGTCAAAATATGCATCATAAACGACCTTATCTTTTGACTGCCTTAACCTAGAGGTTTGATTTTTTCACAGCTCCAAGGTATTGCAGACCTGAGTATTTGATATTAATTTCAACTTGATACCTCCATGCGTTTTTGAAGAAAAGAGTCTTGTCAGACAGACAGGACGAAAAGTGGTCCTGTAAGGGTTCCTTTTTTCCTGTTGAGATGCGGAACCGTACAAAAAAAGTGATTGTGGAAGAAAAAGTTTAAATTGGAGATGACTGAAATAATACAGTCATTTTCCCAGTTAACCGTGTTATTTTTAAGCGTCTGTAATGTTTATTTTACAACATTATAACTTCATTCCGAAGTAAGCGGCATTAGTATTCATGCACCGGGTATGATTCATATCATATACTCGTACCTACGTATACGAATAACTGTAACTATCTGTCTGCATTAATATTTTTGACCGTTGCCTACAGGAAAGCGTTCGTTGTTGTTTTATACGTATCGTGCGGTGAGCACAATGCTGTAACTTCATTAATAAAAAAAACGCTTACGTCATTGACCTAGAATAAGATTGGGAGCTTTCGAGAAAAAAAAAGATAATTAAATTGAATTGTTAATGATTCATATCATCAATTGAAATTATTACTTGATGAGATAGCAAACATTAAACTGCACTGTAGATAAAAATGTTTAATGGTAGATTTTTAATAAAATCGTATGTGAGGTGCGATACGTTTTCAGAATGAGTAGTACTACTAACTGTCAAATTAGTTAGGTTAAGGAATCGATTGCATAATCCATTGAGGGTGGAATAAAGGACAATATGTATTAGTTATTAGTTGATTTGTCCAGTGAAGTTGTAGTTAGTATAATTTTTTGAAGAAGTAGCAATAGCCAATTGTAAAAAAGCCTTCCTTAGTCATGCAGAATTAACGTGACTGTATCGCCTTGCTATTTTTTCTAAATTACACGAACACTTCAAGGGCTGTTGTCGTTTTTTGTTTCAGGCTTCATAGCCTGCTCGGTTTTCTAACGTAACTAATACGTGATTGTATGTAACAGAATGTGGTATTTTTGGATTTCAACTCGCCACTACTGTATAAGCTTAAAAGTATACAAGTAATTGCTACTATTGTAAAGTATGAATGAGTAAAACGAATGGACAAGACCAAAATGAAAACCGAGACCAAACGAACAAGACCAAGACTAATATAAGACTAAATACGCGAGACTAAACGGATAATTACGGATTTATGAGTTAAACTATTTGAAGAAACTAATATATTCTTATCTTGGAACAAAACATCTTTAGTATTTAAAATTTTTAGTTTGTTTTACTAGACCTTAACACTAAATATAAAAAAGAAACTTTACCACTGTTTGAAAAAAGGGACCTACAAAGATGCCCTCCGAGTAAGTGTACTTCCCTCCTATGTCTGGATAACACATGGTTGAAATACATAGACAAACTATTTCTTTTCGATATTTTTTACTTCCTTCAAGAACTTTGTACCATTTTGTTAGCCAAAAGGTCAAATTATTCGTTGGTAGAAAGAAGGGTAAGTTTTTGAGTTTTCATAACTCTCATAACCATCACAACTATTTTCTTTAAAAGTCATGACATACTTACAAGAACTATTTAAAAAAACGCAAGTATTAAATGAGCAACATGAATACCAAGATCCAAACCAAGACTATGTCATCAAGACCGAATAAGCAAGACCAGACTGGGACACTCATGGTCTTGGTGTTGTTACTTTGCTGATTACTACTCAAATTATAGTAAACAGAAAAATTTTCATATTTGTTTAATTTATTTGCTAATAAGCCGGTACTTTATAGTTCAGTTGAAATTAAAAACTCAAATAATGAAAAATTGCGAATAAATAATGTGTTAAATTGATGACTGATGATGGATACAAGTATATTTAAATCAGTAAACAATATCTGCACATTTAGTATTACCTAAAAAAAAGTAATTAATTTGATGAATTCAATCTAGGATTCAGTCAATTGGATTGAAATTTCTATAGGTAGTAATTATTGATCTGTCCGAACCCCCAAAGCATAAATGACAGGTTTCTGGCATTAATCAATATCTAAACAATGACTATGTGAAAACAATTGTGTTCATTTTTCTTTATTACAAAACGGAG